ACTTCATTTCATTGAATGGTACACTTAATCTCATAGAATCATCATACATGACTATTTCAAATTCTACCTATATGTTTTAATTTCCACTATTTTTCATCTAAATCACATGTGAGCGATCCACGTGTCATGGTAGATATGAAGGATTACAGAAATCACAATTCTTAAATAGTACCTGTTTTAGCCAAAATAGTATCGCATCTTCTTCTACGTGGTACCTGGTTTTGATTCATTAGTACCTACTTTTGTGAACGAAAATGGATTATTTCAATTTTATTCAATATCTACAAAAAGTAGTACCAGACATAGAGTTAGATAGTACCAATTTTATCTTGTTGTACTACCTGATATTGGGACTTCAGTACCACTTGTAATAAATACATAAAAACACCGAATTTCGGTCTCAAATAATATTTATATGACTCATAATCACTCTCACATTAGGTTATATGAGATTTAAAATGTTTTTAATTGAGTTTAATCGTAGAATAGTCATGAACTTGACATACTAATGAGAAAGCACTACTAATACACTTCATTTAATTGAATGACACCCTTCATCATTTAATTCATATAATTATTGTTATAAATATGTATTCTTTTATGTTTACATCAATATAACTACATCAATATAACTGTTGTCGTAGGAAATTTAACAACTCAAATTAACTATAGCAATGTGTAATTATATGGAAAATGATGTAAATTCGTATTTTATTGTTGTTTTTTCAAGTGTACAGGAAGTCAGTTTTTATGTATAACCGAGCTATTTTTATTCATCCGTGTACAATGTACGTAAAATGATCCCCCGTATAATCATAAATTCTACTATTTATAGTGCGGCGGATTTGGCTTTCCATACGGAGTATCAGATCGCATTTAATGTTGAGCTACTTCAATTAAGCGGTTTGTAAGGCAATGAGGGAACATCAGTGATTACTTTTTGGCTAGGTGGTCCAATCATGAGCATGCTTTATCACTTGCTTTGGGATCCAGTCATCTCGGATTTCAGTTTAAGTGGATAATCTTCAAAAAAGCATGTTCGCGTAGTCGGTTTCTTTGTCTTTTGTGTGAAGTCGGTTTACTGTTTGAATAGGCCGGTTATCATCCAAATGTGCAAAGTCGGTCGCTGTTCATTTGTACCGAGCTGAGCTAAGTTGGCCATTGGAAGTAAATTTGGAGAATTACTTAAAAGATAATATCATTAAACCTTCCTTTAATCTCGAAAAATCAAGTCGGTTGTCAACAATAACTTTTTTATTTTTATTTTATTTTTTGTATATTATATCTCAAAAATAATCATATTTTAACGATCTTCGATTGACATCCATATTGCATATATAAAATAAAAATAATTACATCTATCGTTATAAATAAAACTATATTTGTAAAATAACCAATTTCAAAAATATGAATACAACATAAATTATTTTATAACAAATATAATAAAAATATAATTAAGTAATATTGTACTTATTATTCACATATATTTTTAAATAGAAATTCGTATTGCGTAAGCTATTAGAGTATAAAATTTTGTTTTTTAGAAATATCATTTATTTGCATATAATAAAATTAGGTTGTTAATTTAAAAAATTATTCTAATAATATTATATGACATTAAATTTTAGAATAAGATAATAGTTGATTATTATGATTAATAAATTGAGTGCGGTTTTATTTTGGAATGAAATGTCTAAATTTAAATGATATGAGTTTCATATGGCATGAAATATCTCAAAATAATCATATTTTGATGATCTTCGATTTGACTTCCATATTGTATATATAAAATAAAAATTAATTACATCTATCATTATAATAAAACTATATTTATTAAAAAAATAATTTCAAAAATATGAATACAACATAAATTATTTATAACAAATATAATAAAAATCAGTAATACACCATAAAATAATTATTTTATTGCGTTTTATCATAGATTTTAAATAAAATAAGAAAATTAAGTGCAAAAATACGGACCCCATTTTGAATTAGTTAATACTTTGTTAGTTATTCATTATTTTTTATATTCACTATACATAATTTTACAATAAAAAATAATTTATTTTAAATTTTCTATTGTACAAATAATAATATATTTAAGTACCCGTATAATACACTGGTATCGTCCTAGTTGATAAATATATTCCTCTTGAAAATTAGATAGATCTTTGAATACATAGTTTTTAGTAAAATTTATAATTTAATTATAGAGAATTAGATGATAAATTTGAACGGCAGAGTAACATACAAAACCTTAAAAATCGTGAGATTAGTGTAACATAGATTTATATGAAATAGTAAAATAGAATTTTTTATTTGAATAGTTTATAAAAAAATAAATTTATATTAATTAATTAAAATATATAAGTTTTAATATTATACTTATTATTCACATATATTTTTAAATATATGATAAAAATTTTATTAAAATATTTATTTTATGGAACCACATTGTATTCAAATTGAATTTTGAATAAAATTTTAGAATGACACTTATTTTCAAATGAAATAATGTAACTTATTATCAGTTATGTACATCATACGAGTTGTGTACTAATTTTAAATAGACATATGTTATATAATTTTGCACAATTTAATTTCATATAGTGGAGTATTACATAGTGATTTCATATTTTTTAATTTTTAAATATTATTTAAAGAAAATTTTTAATTTATAAATATTAATGAATATCTTTTACCTGTGCATCACACTAGATTCATAATAGTTTGTTTTAATGAGTTACAAAACCTATACCTATACTGGAATAAGACAGTACCAGTGTTGTCGTAATACTGTAAATATTTGCTTACAAAAATGATACCTATAATGTAGTAGGTCAGTACCAATGTTATTGTAATTTAGTACCTATATCTTGCGTGGAATGAAAGAGAAAGAAAAATAATAAAAAAAATAATCAAAAAAAGTAGTAAAAGAGATGAATAGTAAAAGATGAGAAAAAATAATAAAAAAATGTGTGGAAAGAGAGAGAAAGAAAAATAATAAAAAAAATAAGAAAGTTAGTAGTAGAGAGAGAGAGAAACAATAAAATAATAAGATGAGATGAATGATAGTGGGATGATGTCACATTTAACTTTCTTTGTGATTTGTTTTAGGGACTTGGGGAGTTTTAAGGAAATCACCCTAAAAAAAATCCACTTAATTTTTTATTTTTTGATAGGACCCACTCCATCTGAGTGTTATGTACACCTCTATGTACATTTATTATGTACTTGTAGCATTTTCCTTTAATTAATGGAGTCTACGTGACCCGTCAAATAAATATACATATTTTTTATTATATATAGAAAAATGCTACAAGTACATAATAAATGTACATAGAGGTACATAACACTCACATGGAATGAGTCCACTTAATTTTTTATTTTTGGCAGGAGTGTTATGTACACCACTATATAAATTATTATGTATCTATACCATTACTCTTAACTAGTGCGTGGCCCGTGCGATGCACGGGAAAACAACATTACGATTATATTATAAATTAAATATATAAGTAACATTAATCATGATTTACCTATTATTTTTAAATTAAACCGGGTTGGACACAGTCCGACCGGATGGATTGGGAACCGGTTTATAACCAGTCTAGTTTGCTTGAATAAAATATTTGCTATCGAATCCTTCAACACCGCTCCGTTGGACTGGTAGGATCGATATGATTTTCTAAATAGATTTTGCTACATTTAAAATTATTTTAAATAAAATTACATATTTAAATAAAATAGAGATTTATAAACTTTTTATCAATTAGTATAAACATTTGAATTTATAAATTGTTTAGATATTTAAGTAATTATAAAATATTTATAAATTAAAATCTAAACCAACCACAAATGATATAATAAAATAACTTTGATTGTTTTGATGAGGGTCCGATTCTAAAAACCTTATATTTACTGTACATTAATAACATTATAATAAAATATTATTTTATTTACATAAATATTAATAAAATGATATATAAGTATCTATAAATTATTAAACATGTTGTCATAAAAGGATGGCCTGATTTTTCAATTATGATCTCTGATTCTTTGTCCCAAAGAACAATAGTGGCATTTGCAATAGAGTCCGAGATGAGCAAATTCATCTTGTATCTATTAAAAAAAAAATAGCATGAAAAATTCATCAATTATGACAAAGAGAATGAAGTAAATCTAATTCTTCTTTAGAAAGACTCCTTATAAAAAAGGATATTCTATCTATTTCCAAGATAATAGTAAATTTGAAATCAAAATTTGGAGATATCTGAATTTTTTGGAATACTTCAAAAGAGTCCGAACTATGTGAAATTATGAAGTTGATTTGATATTGAATTCAAGATCTGTTGGAATTTGAAAAAAAATTCCTTAATTTTAGGTTGTTCAATTATATAAATATATGTGATTTGATTTTTTCCAATTCAAATTGTAGATGACTCACATTTTACATCTATTATATGCGATTATTTATTATCCGATTTTATGGCAATCGAGTGGCAAGGAATTTAGAATTTTAAATTATCAATTAAATATTACATTCCATTTTCTTTGCAATTAGTTTTTTTGAATAAAAAAGGAGAAGAAATAAATTTTATGCCTGATTTTATAATATGACCCATTTTTAATATTTAATTATATAAAGTAAGATATGATATTATAATCTAAAGTAACTTATTTTCTGATCTAAAAACTTATACATTATCTGTGCCTGTAAATTAGATACACAATAACCGATTTTTTGGGAAGTAAATTAAAACATGAAATAAAAAATAGCTAAAAAATAACCGATTTAGGGCCAACCGATTTTTTGGGAAGTGAATTAAAACATAAAATAAAAAATAACTGAAAATAGTATGTAATTAATATGTGTTGATTTTTTCTTCTTACTATTTATGATAAATAGTAAATCTTTTTATATATATATATAGATTAAAATTTAAAATGTCTCGCTCGAAGCACACTTTTCTGGATTGAACTCCGCAGTAAGTCCTATGCAGCAGTGTCATGCCCAATCCACATTCAAACAAATAGCCGACAACCTCAAGAGATGCGCGGTCCTCAAGGAACTCGAATCATGGTACGCCCTTTTCCTCAAGAACAACACCGCCCAAGACTCCTTCTTGATGAACCAGTACATCACCGCCTGCTCCGCCTTCCGCGCCCTCGACTCCGCCGTCTTCGCCTTCTCTCGGATGTCCCAACCCAACGCCTTCGCCTACAACGCCATCATCGGCGCCTCCCTCACCTGCTCCCGCCCGCTCGACGCCCTCCGCCACTACAGGGTCATGCTCAGACAAGGTGTGCCCCCGAGCAGCTACACCTTCCCCGCCGTCGTCAAGAGCTGTCGGGTCTCTTCCGCCTTTGGGCTCGGCCGGTGCGTCCACAGTCAGGCTTTGAAGAACGGGCTGGGCCTACGGATCCACATCCAGACCACCTTCATCGACTTGTACTCAGCCTCCGGCAGTATTACCGATGCGCGGAAGGTGTTCGACGAAATGTCCGAAAGAGATGGCTTCGTGTGGTCGGCTATGATTTCTGCACACGTCTGTGCAGGCGACCTTCGATCCGCGAGGAGACTGCTTGAAGTCATTCCCGAGTCTCCCGGCACTGCTGCTGCTGCTTGGAACGTCGTGCTTCATGGGTATGCATTGGCCGGGGACGTGGGGCCCACAGAGGCCGTGTTCAAAGAGATGCCCGAGAAAGATGTGATATCCTGGACTACCATGATCGACTGCTACAGCAAATGCGGGCTTCACGAACGGGCCCTCAGGCTCTTTGACGAGATGAGGAGTGGTGCCGGGATAAGGCCAGACGAGTCGACCATGGCAACCGTCATATCCGCCTGTGCTCATCTTGGGGCTTTGCAGAGAGGGATGGAGATGCATTTATATGCCGCGCGTGAATATTTGAATCTCGACGTGTATGTTGGGTCGGCATTGATCGACATGTACTCCAAGTGCGGGATGTTGGAGAGGGCGCTCGTCGTTTTTTTCAAATTACGGGAAAAGAATCTCTTCTGCTGGAGCTCGATTATCGACGGCCTCGCGCTGCACGGGCGTGCACGTGAGGCGCTGTCGATGTTTGAAAAGATAGAGAGGGATAAAATTGAGCTGAATGGTGTCGTGTTCGTGAGCGTTCTCGCGGCCTGTGTGCACGCGGGATTGGTTGAGGAAGGTAAGAGGATATTTGAGAGGATGACGAACGAATATTACATCCCTTCTGAAATCGAGCATTACGGGTGCATGGTGGACCTTTTATGCAGAGCTGGGTTACTCGAAGAGGCACTTCTCTTGATACAAAGCATGAGGATGGAGCCCAATTCTGTAATTTGGGGTTCCTTGTTGGGTGGCTGCAAGCTTCACAAGAATTTGGATATTGCACGAGTAGCCTTGGAGAGGTTGGTGATTCTGGAGCCAAGTAACAGTGGTTATTACAGCCTCTTGGTTAACATGCATGCCGAGGCTGGTAGATGGGGTGAGGTGACGAAGGTTCGGGCGGCCATCAGGGAACTTGGAGTCGAGAAGGTCTCACCAGGGTCGAGCTGGATTGAGGTTGGAAGGGAAATGCATCAGTTTGCGGCTTGTGATAATTATCACCCTGCATTGGAACAGATTTATGTGGTTTTGGATATGTTAGAATTGCAGCTTAAGCGCTTTGGCTATGCAGCTGAGTTTGAGTTTGTTCTGTAAGGCGTTGTGGTAGTATGAGGGTGCCATATCCGGTTTGCTTTCTCAGATTCTTTTGCTAGTGTGCATAAATGTAAGTGTGCTATGTATTATTCTTTATATTCTTACTGACATAATGAATCAGATTAGAATCACTCCTGCATTTGCTATGTATTATTCTTTATATTCTTACTGACATAATGAATCAGATTAGAATCACTCCTGCATTTGGTTTTAGGAGCCAAATATTGATCTTTCTGTGTGATTAGATGCCATCAGATTACCCTTTTTTATTTTCTTTTATAATTAGCATCACACAGTTTGTAGTGTTGATGAATATATTAAATATACTGAAAATTGTTAACCTTTATGTCAAACTTTTGAGAAAAACTTCTGAATTTCTCTTTTGAGGTCATCTAGGATTTTCAATTACAATTACGTATATGGAAGTATGAAGACAAGGAAATTAAGAAACAAAATACAAGGGTCTTAGTAACTATAGGTTACTGACCTTGGCCATTGCATACATTCATCACCGATGCATGGAAATGTTAACATATACTGGACCATATTACATGTGATCTGGGTGCTTCCTCTTGTTATTTATGAACATATAGTATCCGGAAAATGAGTCACCTCTATTCTTCAATAGTTGTATCCCCTTTTGAGTTTATATTTCTATTATTTTAACTGTATTTGATACTTATCTTTTGTTGGTTGTTAATTGAGAATCTTTCACTCATATGATGCAACTTGAATCTATTTGATATGATAATGGTATAGCAATTATCCCACCCTATGCAGACACAGCCAATAAAATTTGGGTTCTTTTTTGGTATGTTCTCACAAGCATCAGGTTTTAGAACTGTAAATCTTATATTTTCTGTATAACCGTACAAGTTTGGTTTGAACCTCTGCTGTTGTTTTTGGGTAGAAAAACTTAATTCAGCAATCATAACGAAGAATAAAATATATCGCTCTCATACTTAAGATATAGGTGAGGCATTCTTAAAGCGACATGTGGCAACCTGTTAAGAAATAAAAATTTTTCCGCTGCTGAAATTTGTTCAAATTGAGCACCCCCAAGATCTTCCGGAGTCATTTGAGCAGTTCGGTTTTTAGAATTTTTACGCCAAGGATGAAGAAGGCTTCATCATTTCCGTTTGTGCACACGAACCCCGAGACTAATCACGGTGGAATTTTGAACAGTCTTGTTAGTGTAAGTTCCTATACTTTTTCTTTTTAATATATACGATTGGATTGTTTGGGTGAAAAGTTAATTATTTTGTGGGTTTCTATCTCGATGCCGTATTTCCATGGTAAGTGGAATCACTGGGATGTTTCTGTTTAAAACCGAAAAAAAGAAGAAAAACTTATAATGGGAAGATCATAATATTTTCTTATAGACAAAGGAAGTGTGCCATCTTTGGCAGTCACTTTCGATGCCCCTTTGTTCCCATTGTCAGGAAAGTAATGGGTATCCAAAGGACGAATTTGTTTCTGTATGATATATTCTGACTCCCTGGGGGAAGGGTTAGGATTCTGAATTGCCAGTGGTTACAAAGGGAGATGGTGGTAATTTTTACAATCTTTTCAAGTCTAGAAGCTTGCCAATTGTTTTATTGCATTGATATAATAGTGTGCACGCCACTAACCAAAGTCTGTTGTCGTTTATCCATTTCCTCTTATTTTTCTCAAAAGAAAGTACTGTTTTAGTATTATCTTTTATTTCTTTTAGAAAACAATAAGGCAGATGGTGAAGATGGGAAGCCGTTTTCCGGATTTGTTTGATGGAGCAAGATCTGCAATGTTTGCAAGCAGGAAGTTTGGAACCATCAGTTCATACATTTGCATATACAGAGCACTGTTAATCTGGACAGCAGGCTGGGTGATTCTAGAGAGTTGAAATCCAGAGGCTACTGGCTGAGTGGTTAGTCTCTATGCACCCTTTTTACCTCTGCAAAAAGGGTTTTCATTTTCATAGCCTGCAAAACATCAAACACTACGGCCACATCTGATTGTGTTTTTGTTTTGTAGTTAGTTTCTATTATTATGTAATTGCCTTCGTTGTCTTACCTGTGTTGACTCTGTTAATGTATGGACCATCATATTAAGATGTGAAAATCTACAGTAACTCAAATTGCATCATGATTCTTTTTTAAGGATTCTTGATTTATTATGTCATATATATGAGGTCTTTATGTTTTTGTTTACCCAACACGGGGTTCGGCAGGAATTGTCGACTCTCATCATTGTCAGCATGCTCGCCTATTTTTTGTTTCCTTGGTCAGCTGCTTGGAAGGACTGTTTTTGTGTGACTCGAGTTTAAACAGATGAAGGACAACTTATGTTTGAGTTGATGTGCAGGTTAAGAAAATGGATACAAGTGCAATTGCTATATCAGTTCCATTTTTTGTGTGCTCTAGGCCTTATTTCATCTCTCACCTCTTCAACTATTGGTACGTTCTAATTTTAGCTATAACTTTTTTTCTTGTTTTTTCTAATATAACATTCTCCTATCTTTATGTGTNTTTTGTAAATTATCTGGTAGTACTTCATGAATGGAGGGGTGATTATTTAATTAATGTCTTGCGTTTCATTTGTAGAAATTTGGCAACCTTGTGTGTTGACTATTTTTTTTTTTTTGGCAGTATAATCAACTAAGTGACAATGGTGGAGATGCTTGGATATAAGATGTTTTGATTTTGTTTGAATTTTTTTAATTTATTACGGTTAATTTTAAGAAAAGTGGTATGGTTAGTTGTTAGTAGATTTTAAGTTAATATTTAAAATAAAATAATTAAAGTTGATTTGATGTAAAAGTAGGATAAAATGATGTGGAGTCATGGTTAGTTGAAATTATGTGATTGGATAAATAGTAAATTAAAGTTGACGTAATGTGTAAGAATAATTGAGTGATATTATCTAATTATATTGATAATATTGAATAGTGAGATTAGTTAAAGTTGAGTTAGATTTCTACGATAGAATAAAAAAACAAAAAAAAAAAAAAGAGATTGATTAAAGATAATTGGATATTTAAAAAAAAAATTGTATCCAAGCATGCATCGAGGATTCAACCAATTGTTGATAGTGGAATTAGAACAGTCAAGGTGAGTTGTGAATCACTTCTCTTTATATATTAATCTTGTTTCAAAATATAATAACCTCAACTGTGCTATTCTCTTATTTCTCATTATTTTTCCTTTTTGATTTTGATAGGTTGGTTTTTATTGGACATATAAAATAGATTTTTGAATTTTTGACCTTTCGGCTTTCATTGTTAAAAGAGTTGTCATTACTTCATAGCAACTCTTGTATTAGACCCTAAAGTATAAACTAGTGTTGATACCCGTGCGATGCACGCGATGTAATACAAAAAATATTTTTTATTTAAATATTATAAAATTATTTAAGACAATATAAAATTATATTCTTCACAATCTATTCAGTAATAATATGATATTTATTTATTTCCTATTATTGTTAATTTCTATTTTTATATATATCTTTTTATAGTTTTTTACTATTTAATATATAAATTTTATTATTTATAAGTTTATAAAATATTATAAATGTATAAGATAATATGATACTTGCATACAAATTATTTGTATGTACTTATAAAATTATCAATTTTTTTTCCAACGACATAATCAATTTCATAAATCAGAAGCCAAACAAGGCAATGTAGAACGGGTAAAATATATGCAGACTGTTTGTCCCATTTTTGTTGCGTTTTTCGACATTAATTTTCTTTTCCTTTCCCCCCATATTAGGTATTTTGGTTAGTTTTTAGTTCGTTTATAGTTTATTTCGTGGTTTGCTCTATTTTCTGTCTTTCTTGTATTTTTCGTGTATTTTTTCGGTTTTTTGTCGTCGTTGGTGTACAGGTTGGAAGTCTCGGGAAGATAGGATTTCAGGAAAATATTAGTCGGGCAAGCATAATCAAAAAGAGGAGTTTGGAACCATCAGAGAAATTAGCGGTGAATAAACAGAGGCTCGAGAGTAGCGATGAGGTGCTTATGTGTGAAGCTACGAGTGTCTTTCAGCATAATTTGCCCAAGAAGGAAAAAGACCTCGGGGGCTTTGTGATCACTTTAGCCTTCGGGAATGGGAGAGAGACCTTAGGGATGCTCGATCTAGGAGCAGGCATTAACTTCATGCCACTCACAGTATATCACCGGCTCAGTCTTGGAGACTTGAAGCCCACCAGAATGCGTTTACAGCTTGCAGATCACTCGTTCCGCCACCCAGAAGGGATTGTAGAGGATGTGCTCGTCCGAATGGGGAAGTTGATAGTCCCCGTGGACTTCGTTGTGCTTGATGTAGGGAACGTGCAGGACAATGGTAAGGAGCACGCTATCCTCCTCGGGCAACCTTTCATGGCGACCACCAGAACTGTTATTGATGTGAGGAAGGGGACGGCGAGCATGACTGTGTTGGGCGAGTCCATCACCATCTCCGTTCGAGAGACCCAACCTGAGCCGCAAGCAAATGTTGTGGAAGACTGTGCTTACTCAGGGTGATTGAACAACTCACTGAGGGTGCGTGTATGCGAGAACACGCAAAGAGATCATTGCAGGACCGTGTCCATGTCCAGATTGAGTACCGTACCGACCGCCCCACTACCCCTCCACAGCTGAGTTCGAAGGAGCTGCCCCGATTCGAATGGGGCGAGAGATTTGAGTTGACAGAGGCCCACCGCTGTTCGGGGCCTGATTACCTCCACCCTCCACCTGCACCACTGGATTCACAGTGACTAGTCTAGTCACTGTGCCCTGTACGTTTGTATCTTTTCCCTTCTCTTTATTTTCGTTTTTGGTTTAGTTTTCTATCTTTTGAGATTGGTTGATTATGTGGGCAAACTTTCCTTGCACTTAAGATTGACAATGGGGACATTGTTCGGTTTTAAGTGGGGGAGTTTTTACATGATTATGTGTCTTATATGGTTGTCCAAGTCTAGTCCTTTTAGGGTGTTTTCATTTTTTTTTTTGTTTTTATTGGGTGTCCAGTCTTTTGTCTTTTTGTGTATTTTGTGAGTATGGATTATGGTGAATTTTAAGAGTTGTTGATGATTGTTGATGATGTTGAGGAGATGTGATGATGATCATGACTAGTATGCCTTGATGGATTTGATGTGTAGTTTTGTTGGACATTTATTTACCTTATGTGAGGTTTGAGCCTTGGTTGTTTCTTGAGAGATATTGGTCGGATTCGTTGTTGATCATAACTTGCTTTGAGTCTGTTTTGAAATGAAGTGATTGAAGTTGTGATTTGTGAAAGTGATTGAGGCATTTCTTTGAAATAGCTCGTTTTAGCCTTTTTCATTGACCTTGAACTTATATCTTCATTAGTAGCCCGTTGAGTCTTGAACCGTGTTTCTTGTCAACCAATTTGATTGAATTACTTGAGATTTGACAGTGTTCTTATTATGATGACGGAGTTTTCTACTATGTGTTTGGATGAGGTATAGAACTTGTTTGAGTTGCATTTCTAGTGCTTGACTTACAAAAAAAAAGGGAGAAATAAGAAAGGGGAACTCGCAAGACGAATGCCGTCCTTACGTTTCGATCTTGTTAGGAAAAAGCAAAACCCTAATTATAAAAAAAAAAAAAGAAAAAAAAATAATAATAATGAAAAAAAAATAGTCGAGTACTTAATTTGCATTTCAGCTTGAGCATGTGTGAGTAGTGTATGGAGTTTTGGTGGGAATGATTAGTTTCTTGTTGATTACGGATAGGTGGTGAGATATTCGAGTATTCATGTGCTCGAGAGTGTGAATGTTTATTTGAGCCACTTTGTCTTCCTATTTGTCCTTCCTTTGATACCTACATTACAACCAGTGAAGTCCTCTTGATTCGCAAATTCATGATTTTTGATTGTTTTAGAGTATGAATGGACAATAGGCAAGCTTATGCTGAAACACGATCACTGACCAATTTGAGTATACCCAGTTCATATTCATGAAAGAATTTCCGTTCTCTAATTCTACTCCCATAGCCCCCTGGAACCTATGCCCTTCCCCAAATATTGACAGGGCATGATAATGACTTTTTTCTGTATAACAGGATTATTAATTACGCGTTGGATTTATTCAGGACATTTTCCGCCACACCGCTACATGGTGGCTTCCTCACCGCCTGTTCGGCCCCCTCGGCCCAGAGCTGAAGGAGACCTGCTCAGTTCAAGCATCAAGAAACTGAGTGAGGCATATATGTATTATACTTCCGTGCTTGAGAGTTTGTTTTTTCAAAGCGTAGCATTCGAGTTGTAATTGAGGTGTGCTATATTGGTCATTGGAAGTCTCCTCGGCTGAGTTGATTAATTTGAAGCTTGTCTTGTCTGAAACTATTATCCATGTTCATTTGCTTGTTTTCTTTTCTCTTTGTTATTTTTTTGTTCGGGACAAACAAAGGTTTCAGTGTGGGGGAGTTGTTTGTCCCATTTTTGTTGCATTTTTCGTCATTATTTTTCTTTTCTTTTCCCCCCATATTAGGTATTTTCGTTAATTTTTAGTTCGTTTATAGTTTATTTTGTGGTTTGCTCTATTTTCTATCTTTCTTGTGTTTTTCGTGTATTTTTCCGGTTTTTAGTCGTCGTTGGTGTGCAGGTTGGAAGTCTCGGGAAGATAGGATTTCAGGAAAATATTAGTCGGGCAAGCATAATAAAAAAGAGGAGTTTGTTGGCATCACACAGGAGAAAACGGAATCAGATTTCGAGTCCAGACGAGCATATACGAGCCCAAAACATAAAGTCATGCGAAGCTGCCCAGATGCCTAAGCCCCGCGGCGTGCCGAGCCCCGCTCTGCGCCACTCGTGCCTCATCGCGCCGCGCCAGCACCACGACACGGACTGAGGCTCCCAGGTATCCCAGCTCCGCACTGCGCTGCCTTCGCGCCATGAGGGATGGTCCTGCCGCGTCGCTGTGCATCTCCCGCGCCTTGACACGCACCTCTGGCCCGCTGCACTTGCCGCGCCGTGAAAGATGGTCCTGCCGCGCTGCGCCTGGTTTCTA